ATACAGCATCTCCAAACATTAGAATATGAAACAAACAAACAAAATAGCAGCTGTATCAGTGAGCGATTATAGCTATGAAACTGAAACGCTGAACTATGCAAGCTGAGTTAACACCTATTTGCAGTACATAAATTAGCATGCAGGAAAGTTCTCTGTAGCTGTAACTTTTACAAGTCAGAAAAACATCTGACCATGAAAGGCATGAAATACTGCCATTATGGACGGTGTTCTACTGGGACACGCTCAGAGACAGCTACATGCCTACACATCTCTTATTTGAATACAAGGATCAACTACCTCCACACTACCTGGCAGCATTTCCTTGGACCCACAACAACCAAACAACTAAGCTTGGAAGAAGGGAGGCAGAAGGCCTGAACATGCATTTATTATTATTCTAATTATTTTCAAGGGAAAGCTATGTGATTCCAAAAAATAATAATAATTTAAAAGCAATTTTAAAAAAAAACAACAAACAAAACCAATCCTGAACAATCCCTAGAGTTTTGAAGGAAGAGTAAACACCACACAACTTGAAAGGCATCAGAATTCAGGAAGATGCAGCAGTTGCTGTTCCTGGAGATAGACCAACTGAAAACCTGTGCCAAAGGACTCAGTAAAAGATTCCATGTACTTAAAAAGTATTATTTTTTGCATATGAAAATACTTGGAGCATTAACCGTATCCAGGTTATTAAGAATCTTACTTGGATCTTATATTCCACAGCTGCAAGCTCCCTTGTTCACTCCCAAGGAGAATTTTATTCAAATAGGTGCTGGGATGCAGAACCGCAGAAACTGCAAAAGTGGCCTTATCAAAACCCATTTCAAGATACTGCTCTGCAAAAACGTAAGGAACAATGTTAATGCTGCTACTCCCTACAAAACCGCAAGTTTGTCACCCCTTCACAATTGTCAAGGCAGAACTGATGTTTACTCTGTACAAATGCCACTGGTGCTTCCTGCATTAAAGGATTAGGTTATGCATAACAGGGCAGGATAAACTTCTTTACACTGTAACATCTGTTGGCTTGAAGGTATATTTTTTCCCTATAAGCCTACCTAACATAACAATTTGGCAAAACTGCAATGATCTGTATCTTTCCGAAGGATGACTGCTCCTGCCTGAGCAAAACACCTCAAATGATTAGCATGCCTTTTGTTTGTCATAGCAACTTCAAATCTCTAAAGCCTGTCTGCAGCCACTTTCAAGACCCAGCATCCAGGAAATGACACTGGTCACACCAATGAGAATGATTTCTAAAGAAAAAATTTCAGGGCACTGAGGCACGATTTCCTAAGGCACTTTACAATGGCATTAGAAGATGATGACACAGTTGTAAGATTATTCGTAAGAACTTAGTCTTACCCAGACTGGTAAATATCAAGGATTCCAGAGATGGTGCCAAAGCTACTGTACCACACTCTTTACCAGAAATTGGAACACTGAAATGAAACTTCTGTATAAGCATATCTTTTTACATATATATGGAACCTTACTGGGTCTCTGTAAGTGATAATTAATAATTATTGAAGAGGTAGGACTTCAGACTACCGCTCAAATAGCACTATCGTTTAAGAATATTTTTTCTTTTTGAAGAATAAAATACTTCTGACTACACACATTTAAAAAAAATAAAATTTAACATTACTGTTAACAATCCTACAAAGTACTGACAAAAATAAAGTGTCTCTCACCTTCTGACTGTGTATCCCAGACAATAAGAACATTGTCAACATCCACAGAGATGACATGATCACCAAAGGGCTGCAGAAGGTGTATCCTTGCCTTGTGACCTTTGTATGTATGAACCACCTACAATTTCAAATTAGAAACGTTTCCAATATAAGCTGTTCAGATAGCATGCCATGCTAACCTAACACTTGAGGACAACTTACACAGGTCAGCAACAAGTTTAAATAAAATACATGTATAAACGACACAACTGTAAGTGGAAGACACATAATTTCTCTGATATTTGAAACTGTTAACAAAAATATTTTAAAGTATTTTGATTATTTAGTTTTATTGTAATTAATTCATATGAATTTAGAATTGTTTTCCAGTAACTACGTATTTTTTATGTTTAAGTAGCTACTTTATTATTATTATAATGAATACATAAAGCAAAGGTCAGCCACTGCATTCTATTTTAAGCTTTTTATTCTTCCTTCTACAGTTTTTGTTTGTCTAAAAGATACTAAACATCTATGGAAATAAGTCTTTGTAGAAAACTAACGGTCTTGAACATAACTGTTTTATACTACTATGCAATAAGTAAATGAATAAAAACCTCTTTGTTTCTGGCAAAAGCATGGAGAACATTGTCATAGGAAGCAAATATCAACATGCGGTCTGCTGCCAAACATGTAATGTCTTGTGGCAAAGCATTACCTGTTAATCAAAGAAAAGAAGATTTTAACAAGTTTCAGGTTAATAACAAAAGAGAAGGCCTAATTTTATTTGTTTAGCACGGTGACCCACAAAGAAAGCTCTCCTGTTCTAACATTCAGTTGCATTTCTTAGAGAAAGGCTCATTTCAGATTAATGCACTTTTACCATAAATGACATCACACCAACAAGAACAACATCAGATCAACAGATCAGGTGGTTATTCTGAAAAACATGGCATAAATTACTGAATTATCACTGCAAGAAAAGGCACATACCAGCTCTGTGAAGGCTTATAAAGAAGTTATGCCAACACAGCATTTCTGTGGACTGTCAAGAGTCCTACAGCCTACTTGGACTCTAAGTGTGGCCTCGCCAGCACAAAATGCAGGAGAATAACAACTTTCCCTGATTTGCTGGCCACACACCTAACATAGCCCAGTACATGGCTTGCCTTATTCAGTTACTGCATTGCTGGTCCACATTCAACCCCCTGCCCCTTTTCAGCATAATGCCATGCTGCCAGTCAGTTCCTGGCTTGTCCTGTCCAGGTGCAGGATTCTGCACTTGCTCTTGCTGAATTTGGCTGGTTTGTTGGCTCAGGCCTAGAGTTTTGCAACACCTTCGCAGATGAAGCTGAGCCATTCTGGGTGCCAGCTACTCTCCCTAATTTAGTATTGTCTGCAGATTTTTACTAAGAGTGGACATAATCCTCATATCTCAGGCTATTGATGAAGGTGCTGAACAATATGGGACCTGCTGTTGACACCTAGGGTCCTATGCTCTGTTGCCAACTGGATGTCAATTCATATCCTTTGTATCCAGCAGTCCAACCAATTTTTAACACCCCCCTGAAGATTTCTAGTCCCATTCACACCTGTTCTGTTCCTGTAATTATTTTCCTTCAGTAACACGTCCTTCTAATAACCACAAAAACAACAAAAAAGGGATCTGAAATTCAGCTTTACTCACTGCTCACTCCTTAAGACCTAGGGGTGTTCTTGGAAGAAGATGATAAAGATAGGAGGTTCACAAGGTATATCCCTAAGAGAACTTTAGGTTGCAACTGCAGTCTTATTTCCAAGTGGATATCTGGTATTTCTCAAAGTCCTTTGAACATATTTCTGTGCAAATATTAGTATATAACTACAATTAATTTTCCATTTCTGAGTTGAGAATCAAGTGCTAATTCCAGATGTGTTAAAAAAATAAATACCGGAATGAACAATTAGTGCATACTTACTCACAGCAACAATACCAAGTTTCTTCACCTGCAATGGAAATATTTAAGAGGCAATTTTTAGTGATTGATTGCAATTAATTTGCTATAAACAGGAATTCAGAACTCCAGGAACCAACCTAGAGAAGAAATCCGCATGCCTCACAAGACAGAAAAATCATCCATCTATCAGCATCTACAGGAAAACCCACAGAAAACAAGTCAAAAGGAGTGGGACGATACATTTGCCAAAAGACCATTCAGCAACGCCAAGCTGTGCTTCTTGATATACTATATCCTAATGCACAATAAACTAAGCACATATTTAAACACCTTGCAAAGCTTAGGAAAAACTGTTTTCACACCATCGCTGATTCTAGTTCATTTTTTTTACCACCACATTATGTTATCATCTCTGTTCACGTAAATTTGCTTTAGTTACAGCCATCACTGTTTTAGCTCACAGTCTGTGGACAAGACTGTCGCGAGTGAGTGAATCCTAAGTGCGTACCAGAAAGGCACATGAAAGAAGATAGGCTGCCGGCACCATCCTGTTCACTATAATCACTAAATTCTGTTTTGTCCTGTTTGTAGCTGAAAATGTTTTTACTGTACAGCAAGAAATGAGTTAACACCAGGAGCGTTTATCTTTGAAAGATGCTTATCTGTTACGAGTTTTCATACGACCTAATGGAATCGATTTAGCAGATTGCCCAAAGAACCCCACCCCCTAATTCATAACTATCCAAACTCCAGGCGAGCTTCGGTTTTACCCAGCGACAAGGGAAAAGCCCCAGCATGCGGCGGCCCTCAGCCACGCGAAGGCCGGGCACACCCACCCTAGCCCCTGTAGCCTGCCGCCTCCCTCCCTTCCCACGGGCAGCCCCCCTCGCCGCCGAGAACTGCCACGGGCGGCCTCCTCACGCCGTAAAGGCGAATACACGGAGGAGCAGCCTAGCGCCGGCCACTGTCTTGGCGAGCAGGATGCCGATGAAAGGAACGGGGCAGCGTTGGCCGTATACTCACGTTGTAAGTGTGGACGCTACGCCCAACGGCCGTGGCCAGATAGAACTCTCGGTGCCGGCCGTGGTAGCGCAGGACGTGTGGGACGTGGCCGCTGAACTGGCCGAGCACGCGGAACCCGGCGAACACCCCACACCCCACACTCGCCATGACCACGCCGTCCGCCCACCGGAAGCGTGTAGCCCGGCTTCCTCCCGGCTTCCTCCCCGCTTCCGCCCCGCCCCGCCCCGCTTCCTCCGCACGCACACACGCACCCACGTGCGCACACAACCCGGACTCAGCCCCGCCACCCCCCCTTCTCTTGCACCCCTGCCGCGACGGGGGTTTGTATTGTGGGGTGGGCGCTGCGGCAAGCAGAGGGCTGTTAGCCGCTTTCGCCTCTGCAAACGCTCTCTGCAGCCACGTCTCGGTTTTATTCTCCTTTCTTCCCTTCTTTCTTTTGCCCCGGGCAGCCCCAGTGTACGGGCCCCCGGAGCGCGAACAGCCTCTGTGCTATCCAGGGTGTTTGGTTTATTTCATTCTTTTAGTAAATTATATAACCCGCAGGATAACTTCGTTGCTTGACTGAACGGCGGACAATAAATATTCAGCAAAATTCGGTGAAGGGAAAAAAAAAAAGCCACCCAATACAAAGCCACCTATCCCAAATTCATGTAGCTTCTCCACACAGCCATCAGCTCCCGGGCCTTGCTCTCGTCGCACGAGCCTCGGCTCGCCCTCCGGATTGCGCCGCCCTGCCACCGCACATGCGTTAACGGACCGCCGCCGCGGAGCTGCCTTTGTCATCCCCGGCGCTCCCCGCGGCACGGCGGCCCTGCCGCCCCGGACGCGATCCCGCACCCACCTGTGGCGGCTGGTAGCCGGGGCAGTGCCGCTGCACGACGTAGAGGGTGCTGGGCCACAGTGGCGGCCGGTCGCCGCAGCCCCGCGCCCTCACCAGGGCGCACTCCAGCAGCCGGCCCGCCCGCTCCAAACGCCAGGAGCCCTGCGGGCAAACGGCCGGTCACGTCCCGGACCGCGGAACCGACCCTGCCAGCCCTCACACCCGTCTCCCGCCAGCACTTTCCCGCGACCCCCCCTCGCTGCTCATACCGGCCTCCTTCCCCCCCGCTTTCTCCCACTTTTCTCCCTTTTCCCCCTTTATTTCGCCCCCCTTTTTCGCCTCTTTCGCCCTTCCCCCCTTTTTTTCCCACCGTTTTTCTTCCTCCCTCCCTCCCTCAAACTGCTGTTCTTCTTTCTCTTTCCCCGTAGTCGCCGGGGATCCGTGCACCCGGGCGAACCTCGGACTGCTGCGGACCCGCAGGCGGGGAAGGCGCGTCCTCGCAGGTATGAAAATCGAGTTGTAGCTCCTGGAGGGAAACAACAACAGGGGATGCTTGTTAAAGCCACGGTCGTCGCCGTCGCCTCGGACACCCCGATACAAACATCCCTACCGCCTTCCCCGCTGCCGTGAAGGGTGCGGGCATCGGCGGTGCGGGCAGCCGGTGCCGGGCTGCGGCGGGGTGCTCCGGGCCCGCTGCGGAACTGCTCGCACGGTGCGCCGTCCCGAGAGCCGCTAAGTGTGTGGACCATTAGCTTCTAAGCCGCTCATCACCTTTGCAACCGTGACAACATCTTCAGCGTCGGTGAATCATTACACAAGCGACTTTCAGTCCTACGGGTCTGCAAGGCGCCGGGAAGAGTCGGATAGCGCTCTGGCAGCAGCCGCCCGGGCTCCTGCTCTCCGTCCCTGCCAGTCCCAGCTTCAGCGAAGCACATTTTAGGAAGGTCGCCGGAGGAGAGTAGGAGATAACTTCCCCGTCCTGTTTCACAGGCACCGGTTTACTAAACTAGCCAACTCCCGGCTTGCTAATCGAGATTTTCAGAAAGTAGCTGCCGGCGGTCAAGGGTAAAATCGTGGAGGCAGTGCCGTCCAGAGTTTCCCTCCGATGCCACCAGAGAAACCACCAACCTCTTTTTTAAAGGTCATGTATGGATCCAAAACGTTTAGGAGATCCTCTTGTATCTCGTCGTGGTTACAGAGGCTGAAATTGTAGGTGTATCCCCGTGGTAGGTCGGCGATCTGAAGAAAGATGATCAAGCCACAAAAGACTGTGTAAGAAAAAGCCAAAAGTTAATTATCCTGCACTGCTGCGTGACCCTATAAGGCACGGAGAACAGATCTGGGATGCCGGTGCTTTGGGAGCACTAGAAAAACTGGTTGGTTACCCTTGTGATTATCCATGGTGTCTTTACACGTTGTTTTTCTCCTGCTGGGCTTCAGATCGTTACTGGCTTCATATATGTACCTGAACGCCTACGGAAATGAAGGTTTCCAATTCCATAACTGGGTCTCATTTGGATGTCTCATGCACCTCTTTCCAGAACTTCAGACCTGAAGTTGTGTCACTGGTTCGAAAAGAAAACTGAGGTAATGAATAATAATCAAACGCAGAATCCAAACCCCAAACAAAACAAACCTGATCGCTCCACAGCAGCCAGTCTTGCATAAAACAAGTGTGAATAGCCCTCCCCATAACTTCACTGGGGACACCTTCGGCTACAGTTATTATAGTAACATGCTATTTTCTCTTAAAGGTGAGATAAAACACTTCCGGACACCTGCAGATGGACTGCACAGGGGTGGTTGCTCAGACCCTCTGTACGGAGGTCGCAGGGGCATCTGTAGCGCACTGCTTTGACACACTAGTGCAGGAGTGGATGGAGGTGCTCTTTTCCCTGTGTCGCCTACACTTTTTATTTACCCCCCTCAAACGTGAATGTTTTACCTTAGAAACCACTTTCCCCGGGGAACCACTTCGGTTGCGCAAGTTGCAGGGAGTGCAGACGAGGGACACATGCTGTTCTGTGGGGACAGCCTGGCTGACAGGGCAGCCAGATGACTGGCACTGTCTACCGGGATGCTAGCTTCAGGCTGCCCGGACACTGAGAGGTACCCGGGGAAGAGATCCAGGCTGTCCCTGGCCCTGAGAAATGCCCGGGGCGGGGCTCTAGGCTGATCGGGGCAGTGAGGGATGCCAGAGGCGGGGATCCAGGCTGCTCCGGGCACTGAGGAGGAGGGGGCTGGCGAGAGCAGGAATGGACCTGCTGCTTTCCTCTGCCTGAGGAGCTTCCAGAGCCCTTTTCCCGAGGGCGGGCGGCCGGCACCTACGCCATGGTCCCCACCAGGTACTCCCTGCCCCGAGGGAGTGTTTCACAGGAACTGCCCTTGGGGCTGCCGCGGGGCAGGGGCGCTGGGAGGCGCAGGGCTCACAGTGCAGAGTCTCGCCAAGACTCGACTCGCCGGCTGTCCCGGCTGCTCTGAAGCTCAGCTTCAGAGAAAGTTCATGTTCGTTTTTGGGAAGTGCTTCTCCGGCATAAGTCATGAGGAAATCCCAAGAGGACTGCCGCGGGAGAAAGGACTTTTTGGACCAGCTGAGCTGCGGACGAGCCAAAGCACATCCATCAATACTGCGTGCCTGTCTGCTTGAGAGGGTTCGGCTCCCGCACCTCTTCCAGGCCTCTCTCTTTTCGCTGTCTTTCTTTTCTTTCCGTCCTTAATCTCTCAGCCTAGTCGGGTGCCTGCGGCCCTGCCCGGGGGTCGGAGCGGGATAGCGGGAGACGCGCGTCCCCGTCCCGTCCGGTTCGAGGAGGATGCAGAACTGGAGCAGCGGTCGTTCAGAGAGTGTCACGAGACCTGTGACTCTGTGTATGTGTGTGCGTATACGAATCTTTATTCGAGTCAAACCCGACGTTTTGAAACCAATGCCTTAAAAGATACTGGAGTAATGGAGACGCAGGTGCTCTGAACATTAGCCTAGCTCGGGAAGGAGTGCCTTAGCACTGGAGACAGTCTTACCAGGGTGCTTCCCTTCATCGCTGTCACAGAGTTGCCAAACAAATAACAAAATTCCAGTTTCCTAAAGGACGGCTTGTTCTCATATTCCAGGAGCTGATGGGGTTATCTTGATTTGCAACGCTGTGTGCCTTCATTTTTCTCCGATCTTTTTTTTTTTTTGTTTCGGTCAGAATTTGCTAATAAGCTTCATAAAATTTAGTAAGATAGTAAAAAAAACAATTCTTCTAACTAGCTTTGTGTTTCTTGTTTTACAGCTGCATAACCAAAGATGCACCCTACCATAAAGGAAGTTACATGAGAAAAGTCTTACTGTGCTCCTGAAACCAGCAACATAAACAACAAAATGCCTATTGTTCCTGCTATGAATTCTATGTAATATTGATCTAAGGAAGGACTTCGGGACTAGGAACATGTTAATTTTTACTTACAATTGTTCATTTATCTCTACTGAACGGGACATAGCAAACCTATGAATAGTTAAATAAAGCTGTTTATTTGTCCTTTCTAAACAGGATGTAATAATCTTATGAACAGGTAAAGGGTACAGCTTGGTTTAATGCAAAAAACACTGGATTGAAATTCTTTTCCATCACTTAATGTGTACATGCTTTCATTTCTGAAGTTGTGCCTCTGAAGTTAGCAGTAGAACAAAGTGACAGCAGACATTAGCAATATAATCAGATCAGTGAATGAAAAACACAGTTTTTAAAAGAACCAGAAAGTTACATAGCTGTAGAATATAGTTTGATGCTCAAAACACGCTTGTAAGTTCAAGTGAAAGATTATTAAGAAAAAAAAAATCACTTACTTTCCTATCATGACTGTATGTCATGTCCTATCATGTTGTATGTCAAAAGTTTTGTGAATAAGAAGTGTCTGTCATCCACTTTGATGGTCTCTAATTCCCACACAGCAGTATTCTCAAAAGTGGCAAATTATGGTGAACATGTTTTAAGTTTCATTTTCTGTTTAAACTTCTTCAGAGATACAGCTTCAATTACCTAGATATGTACCGCGGGGGGGGGGGGGGGGGGGGGGGGGAGGGTGGAGTGTGGAGAGACAGAAGCGGGAAGGAAAGGGAGGAGGGAGAAAAGGGGAGAGAGAGAGGAGGACTTTAAGGAATTTAGAAAAATCTGTCCATTCTTATAATTGTAGCAGTTAAAAACTTTTACTTACTCCAGTCATAAGAATGGTGAGATCTCACTTCTGACAGCACCTTTTGACCTGAGCACAAGTTTGAAGGAATTTGAAGTGGTTTGCATTAAGAGAAATAATTCATTATAAGAGGCATTTTTTCTGATGGACCTTTATACTTACAGCACATCTTATGGACCTCTATACTTATAGCACATCTACTTTCTTCTCTAATTCCTGCTGCCTGGTTGTCTTGAAGACCTCACATTTGTGGCTGTGCTTGAGTAGCAAAACGATGGGATTGAGAAATAACTGTTGCTATTTTGCTGCAGGTCGAGATCGTATCTGTGTGCATGGGACTGCTGCCAGCCTGAACTGTGAGAGAGGAAGAGTTAGCTGCCAACCAGGAGTTGCTGACTTTGGTAGGCATTGTTAATCAATATTATTGTATTACTGACATTATATTTCATCAGTTTGACTTATATTTGTTGAGTCAGTTTTTGATTATTACATCTTAGTACATGTAGCTGAAAGGCAAACCTTACACTTTTCTTTTGGTACACATACACAATGTATTCCTTCCTAAAATACCTGACTGCTGCTACATCGTGCCACTGTATGGAGGATGTTTAACATAATTATACTTTGGATATGTAGGATTTGGGAATTTCTTAAATTATGAAATCATGTATTTGGAAAAGAGAGGTGGGGGGAGACCAATGATTACCTAAGGGAGGGTGGGGAGATGGGAAGGTCAGTGGTGGAGGGTGTGCGGGGCATACTGTGCACATCACAGCCCCAGTGCCTAGTGCAGCATGCCCAGGGCAAGGCAGATGCACACAGCCTGGCTGTGACCTGCCCAGCCTTCCCAGCAGCCACATGCCCAGGAGAGCCTCCATCTGCCTGGGCAAACACTACTCAGTTTTACATTTTTGTGGATCAGGCTTTGGCTGAAGGGTTCCCTGCTGACTCTTCCATGGGTGCAGAAGGTATCACACACTTCTGTGGTGCCCAGTACTTTCTAATCTCTGGTGATAGTACCAAGCCAACTAATGAAACATGCCCTGCCTGTAGCAGCTTGCGGGTGTGATTGCCACCATCAAAAAACCTCCAATTAAGCAAAGATGATGATTTTAGAGATTCCCTTCATACACAGAGCATAGTGGTAGCTTAATGACCTTTCTTTTTTTCATACTTTTTTGCTAAAAGTTTTATTTCAGAAAATTACGTGTTTTGGTTTGCTTTTCTTTTTCTTTCTTCTTTTTGCTTTTTTTCTGCCCAGATGCTAAAATATGAGCATTGGAACCACACCATGATTTTTAGCTCATCTAAGGATGTCCGGATACTTTAGTCTGCAATGTTCATACCTTACTAACCTGTTTAACTTTCTTTGAAGTGTAGCATGCATTTCCTGAGTTAATGGTCATTAAACAGTTATCCTGTCTTTTTTCCCCCCTTTCAGAAGTACTTCAGCTTAACTCCGCTATTCTCTCTCAAATTTAATATACATATACTGTAACTTACTGCCTCCATGCTTTGAAATGTAGTGTTCAAGGAGAAATTGAAAACAAGCATATGGAAGTACTTCAGTCAAGTCCATTGTGAGTGCAAAGTCTGAACAATTGAAGATATCACTTCAAACTGATAACAAACTTTCAGTGTGCTGCTGGCCTATAATGAACTTTGCATCAGAATTGAACATCCACTGTCTATAACTACGATTGGATAAGCCTGACCATATGAAAAAAGCTTTTTGAATCACCAAAGCAGGGTTAGGAAACTCAGTTAAGCTTTTTCTCCTAAGTAATTTTTCATTCAAACTTTAGCTGAGTTGGTCAAAGACTT